AGTGGTAGAAGATTTTAAAAATAATCATGGTAGCTATGGTTTTGGAGTATGGTTTTGGAGTGATTAATGATTAATGAAGAATGTAGAGCTATATTAGATTTTGCTTTAGCATATGATTTTGTTATTCTATCTCCATCCCCTTCATGAAATAACATTTTCTTAGAGGGATAATTTTTATTTTTGAATTCTCATATGCTGGTTTTGTTTAAGCATCAAATGGGCGCATTTTCAATTCGTAGATCCACCCCATCCTTTTTGCTCCATTTTGCTACTTCAAGTAGATTGAGCTGGAAGCCTTACTGCATCTATTTATTTTAGCTCCCACTTCTTTGTTCTGTCATTTGGCTGCTTGATTGTGTTCCCCATTTTTGTAATCATATAGTGTTCATTTCTTGTTTTTCTTAATAATGGCATTTTTCCTCCATGATGCTGTTTTCGTTTATAATCCTCGTTTTACATTTAGATCCTATAAAATAGGCAGAATTACTCTTTGGCCCTCATCATCATCAAGGAGAGAAGATTGAAATAATTTAAAGCTTTAACATTTATTAATGAGTATGTGCATGGAAGTAGGGTTGAGAGTTTAGCATGATGATTACTTAGATTAAATTACTATTAACTTTTTGGGTTCAGGCCATGCCACAAAGAATTTTTTTTTTTTGTTTGGTTTAATTTTGGTGCCAATTTCCAACCTATATGGATTGAATCTATTTGATTGCAATCAACTCAAAATATAAATCTTTAATATGTATGATTTTTGAGGTATTTATATAACTTCTAACCATCTCAAAATCAAACTATTTGAAATTGAACTGGCTTGAAATCAAATTAGTTTGTGTTATGAGGTGCTTTTGGGCTGCACTCAATTAGCTTGTTATTTTATTGATCTTATGTATAAGGAAGGAGTGCGTTTCTAAAAATGTTATCCAGCCAATTTTTATAGCATCATAGATGGAAACATTTCTAATTGGTTTGATTTGTTTGTCTAAATTTTGCCTCTCCATTAAATTTATTTATATGAGTTTCTTTCATGAAATGTTCAAGGATTTTTGTGCTTATGATGAGCTTTGGATCTTTCTTATACTCTCTAGGTATGATCATGAAGTGCTCATCTCAAGCTCCTCTTTGCCAAGGTTGTGATTTTGTCTTAAAAATTGAGGTTGGATTGAAAATCAAATTAGTTTATTTTTTTTCCCTTGTAATGAGCTCAATTTGAAATCAATGAGTTGGCCCTGATTTAGTTCGACCTTAAATTGAGTCGAGCCTGCTTTGATCAAGTCGAGTTAGAGCTCAATATACAAACACACAGACACTTATGTGTGCATGCATGTGTAAATTTATAAATATATGAATTTTTGTACAAACATATTTACATACATTGGCGTAAAATTGCATCTTTTTGTAAGGAAATAATAATATTGTTTTACTAAACCTATTAGCATTAACTAATACATAATTTAATCCTTTCTTAATTTCGAGTGGGACTCTTAAGTCAATGGAAATATTTTCGGAAGTTGACCAATTGGCTTCTTTTCGACCGTGAGATTTGGAAGTGTTACTGAGGAGACAATACTTTAAGAACCATTTCACTTTCAAGTGCATATTGGGCCAAAATATATCTCTTTAGGATCAACAAGGTTTTATATATTCTAAAGTGCCTTTCCACTCTGATATTGTGGTATTCGAGCCTCCCATACTCAAATGATCGGATAAGCTATTTGAAGGATTTATAATTAATTTTCATGATCGAGTAGCCAATCTTTTATGTAAAAAAAACTAATGATTTTTTGTTCTTCAATGCCTTGATTTCATGTACTTATAATTATAATTCACTACTTTTCATGATACAACTGAAATGTAGGGATTATCACAATTAAGGTTCTAACAATTTTGTAGTTTGGTTGCTGTGACACCATGCTAATTGTTTTGTTTTAAGCATCTTGTATGCAGTCATCCATTTTAGGTATGTCATTTATCGCATGTTCCTTGTTTGCTATATCTCAGATTGACTTATAGATATTTTAGTGGGTTGTGATTTATATGTATAACGGCTCCCCTAAAAAATTTCTACTTGATATAATGTGGATAATACGGGTTCAATTTGATTCGATCATTGTTTAGTTTGGCATTTGTTTAAAATTTATAAATCTGAGTATTATTTAAGTTGGTTTGGGTTAATCCAAACAACTCAACTAGCTCAAAATTGACCCAATTATTATTCGTTTGGTTTAGGCAAGTTTGTGTCAGATTAAATAGGTCATTTGAGTTAATTGGGTCATGTTGAATAAGAAAATTACATGATCTTTATAATAAATGTGTTAGATTAATTCAGTCGAGTTTGGTTCAAACCCATATAATAAACAGGTCGAGTTCTGGTCAGACATAATCGGATTGGGTTAACTTCGGCTCAAACTTGAGCCTAATTTGTCAACTTGAATTGACACCTTACAATCAACTGATTTTTATGAGCTCACATATAATATTGTAACATGATAGGCTACATATCTTTCATAATGAATGATGTAAATCTAATGAATTTAGATGCATCATTCGTTGACTTGAAGGTTTATGTGAAGTAGGAAGGACTCAAAATGGTGCTTTAGTGTTCTTTTCAGAAATTTGTGATATTCTTCTATTGTTCTGTTTAGAAAATTGTGCTAAATTTGATTCAATTATTGTTCGGTTTGCCATAGGTTTAAAATATTGTAAATTTGATTATTGTTCAAGTTGGGTTTGAGTTAACTCGAATAACTTTATTAACTCAAAAATTGACCCAATTATAATTCGTGTCTGGGTTAGTTGAGTTAGGGTCGGGTCATATTCAACTTGTCATTTGAGTTAATTGGGTCATGTTGAATTAAAAAAAATACATGGTATATATAATAAATGGTTTAGATTCATTGAGTAGAGTTTGGGTCAAATATTTTGACCCATATAATAAACAAGCCGAGTTCTACTAAAACATAGTTGGGATTCAACTCAAACTCGAGCCCAATCTGTCGACTTGATTTGACACCCTTATAAACAACTGATTTTTATGAGCTCACATACTATCAACAAGTCTCTAATAATGAATGACTTGAATCTGATGGATTTAGATGCATCATTCTTTGACTGGAAGGACTTAAGTAAAGTAGGAAGGGCTCAAATTGGTGCTTTAGTGATCCTTTTAGAAATTTGACAATATTCTCCTCTTGCTCATTTTAGTTGAATTTTTTTGCTGATCTTAAAAGGGCATGCAGAGGGTTGGCCAACGTTGAGAACATTGAATTAACTTTCTAATGTTTTGATTATTGTTTGAAGATGTGTTCAAGATGTGTTACTTGAGGCATGCCTTGAATTAAATGCCTCGAGATTTAAGCCTTATTGTTACTAATGAGGTTTACGCTATCTGAGGTGGATGCCTAGAGGTTTTATGCCTCAAGGCATTTTAGGTAGCGCATCAATCATGTTATTTAATGATATAATATTATATTATTACTTATATCTAATATATTTGATACAATGTTTTTAAAAATTGAAAAGATATTTTTAATATGATTATTCAATTGAATTATTTTATTTTAAATTATATTGGTTCTAATTTTAATTGATATAGAGATTAAGAAGAAAATATGGTGATCGAAGAAGATTTAGAAGATATTGATGAGACAGAATTAGATGGTGATAAAATTGTTACATACATTTATTTATTTGAAGATGATAAAAGTTGGAATAGGTTGGTGTGTATCTTGGTCCTCATAGTATATTTAAATTTTAAGTGGATGATCATGTTGACTTTTATTATAAAATTTCATTCTATATCAACATTTAATGAGATTTTTGTTTTATATATTTACGATTATAAATTAAATCATTATATCGATTTTGATGTCATATTTGTGAATTATTTTAATTTTATGAGTATTTTCAATTTTTAAGCACACACCTTGCTTCACTAAGGCAAAATGCCTTAGTTTTTACTTTCGCTTTTTTAATCCTTGATTTTGACAAGCACTCGTGATGTTCCTTAAATATGACAATGCTTTTGTCTTGGTCATCCTTGGATGACCTTTATTTTTTCAGATTCTATTTTCTATTTTCCTCGTTAAAAACAAGTCTAATGCTACATAATTCACATTTTTAACATTAAAAATGAATTTGTAGTTCCTTAAGTTTAAACAAAATTGATTCTGCATTTTGATGGTGTTTATATTAGTTGTTATCACATATCAGAATGTGATCTGGATACACAATTATGAAATGATCTAAGTAGGTTTTGAGTATTGCTTTTTTAGTCTCATGGAAGTAATTATTACATAACATACCCCGAATTTGCAATATGGAACATTAAAAATGCAACTAATTTTAGCTCATATTCACTTGCTATGTTATTTTTGAGACTAGAAATTTCAGTCATGCTGAACTACAATGATGTTTGGAGTACTTGGGGCCCGTTTGGGACAGCTTATAAGTGTGGTTAACCGTTTGGAAAACTCGTTCAACAACTTATCTGAAAACGCGGTTGAGTTTTTATACTAAACACAGGCCGCGGGTCGAACCCCACCGGCTTCCCGCGGGCCGCGTTTCAGGATAAGATGCTTATCTCGATAAGTAGAAGCTGCCCCAAATGCACCCTTGGTATATTTTTTATTTTTTTTTGTCAATATTGAATTAAAACATATGGCGCCACTTAAGTAGAAAATGAACCCAAAATAGCAGCATACAGTACAGCCATCTTTTGATGAAGTCTTATATGTCATTCTTGCCAGGAATATAGTGTACTGTTTCTTTTTATTCCCTTCTCCATCTGAAAGCAGGTACTTTTGAGCACAAATGTGCAACCCAAATTGTTTATTTAGATTTGAGAAAAGGGTTATTGCAATTATCATTTTACTGATTTTTTAAAATATTATTGTTATCTTTTTGTATTATCTGATGCATTTATAATATCACCATTTGAAATGTGTATTATGAATTTTGATGATTATTCTCGAAGGTTGAGTCTTTCCAATCTTCAGGATAGACAACACGTGATATATGATGAACAAAAAAACCGGGTCCAGCAGCAGGCACAAACGAAGGCACAAATGGCTCGCTATGAGGACGAGCTGGCTAGAAAGCGAATGCAGGCAAGCCATTTCTCTGCTCTGAAAATTCTTTTTTGGAAGATTTACATACATACAACTAAATTCATATCTAACACCTAAAGCTTAATTTTTACATGCATGTCATCTTACCTATGCATGAGAAGGTATATTTCAATTTTAGAAGTTAAAATGGTGGTATTTTTGATGTGATGTGAAACATACGAGTGGTACAAACCTAAATAGTAAATTTCAGACATTAGATATGTAACTACATAGGAATTGGGTGGTATGGATGTAAATGCCCTTACTTTTTTATGTTGCTTGTAATTGAGCATCTTAAGTTCTCCTTTTCATAATGCTAGGCAGAGCACGAAAGTCAAAGAGCTAGAAATCAAGAACTCGTAAAAATGCAAGAAGAATCTTCCATTAGACAGGAGCAAATTCGACGGGCTACCGAAGAGCAAATTCAAGCTCAGAAACGGCAAACCGAGAAAGAAAGGGCGGAGATTGAGCGCGAGACAATACGAGTGAAAGCTCTAGCAGAAGCCGAAGGGAGAGCACATGAAGCAAAACTCGCTGAAGAGGTAAATAGACGGATGCTTATTGAAAAAGCCAATGCGGAAAGAGAGAAATGGGTTTCAGCTATAAATACAACATTTGAGCATATAGGAGGTGATAATTCTGATGTATTCATGCATCATCCATTTAATTTTTTTTTTCTTTCATGCGTAGAATCTGTTTCCTACTTTATCGAAGTTTTTTAGCTTTTTTTTATGGGTTTGATTGGAATTTGAAATTTCTTTGCAATTTATTTTCTATATATTTGAAATTACAACATTGAAGAGGGAGGGAGGCGGCATCAATTCCTTGCTAAGAAATGATCCGAGAAGGATTCCCTCAACTCAAGTTTGCATCCCTATTAAGTTTATGTGCTTTAATTAAAACCTTTTTTTGTTTGAATGTTTAGATGTGATTATAGCCTTATAGGAACATATCCTTTGGGCTGAAGTGCAATTCTTTTGCAAACTGAAACCTATAGTCGTGGAATCTCGAATTTTTTTTCTACTAAACAAATACAAAATAAATAATCTTGATAGTCTGATTTTTTAGTTCAGTTTTTGGGCTATTCCTGAATATTTGAAAGCTATTGCAGGGTATTTTCTATTGATTGTGATGATGATTATGCAAGGTTTGATGCCATTGTTTAATCTTTATCAGGCTACAATGTGCCCCATAAAATTTTATATCTTGATGTCATTCATAATTTGCTCTAATTGATTTGCACTCTAGTATTTATCATCTCTACATGATAGAAAGGGGTAACTCTGTTGCTTTTTATTCTAACATGTATAATGCGGGTTAAAAATGAATTGGATTCCTTCCATTGAGACAGTTACTGAGAAGCTACTAAATGATATCCCTGCTTTGAGCAACATAACGACAAGCTTAGTCCTCATCAAGGTGATGTTGAAATAAAATGCAAGGTGGAAGATCTCTAGGGGTTGTTTGTTTCAAAATTATTTATGTAAAAATGTAAAATGGATGATATGCTTATTCAGATAAAGCTATTATCCATCAAATGTGATTAACTGGGATTTTGATCTTTCTTGCTAAGTTGGTCTGATGTCTAGATATTGAACGGCGTTTTACATTTTTTTTTCAAAATGTGAAACAAATATATCTGTGAAAAGGTTCGTGTACCTCTAGTAGCAGGCAAGTTTAGAGAGAGTCGTGTTAGTTGGTTTGGTCACATTAAACTTCGACCATCTAATGATCCAGTTAAGAGAATAGATGTTTTAGATTCAACTTATGCTAAGAAAGGTAGAGGTAGACCTAAACAGACTTGGGTATGTTATATAAAAATGATCTTAATTGAATTAAATGAAAGAATGACACTCAATAGGACACAATGGAGAAAAAGGATTTATGCACGCAGGCTCACTTAATGGGATAAAAGCTTGTTGTTGTTGTTGTTATGTGCAAACTAAAATTGTGATATCTACTAATAATATGATATTAGATAGGCGAAGCCAATGAAACAAACAAACCCCTTAATTTTATCTCTGTACTTTTATGACATTTGTACAAAGATATGTTATTTTATCTGAAATTTGATTGAATCACTGCATTGATTGCTGTTTCACATCCACTGCTTGGTTCAAAACCTTAGCGGATGAGCAGGAGTGTAATCCTTATTCCTTTTGCATCTAGGTTTGACTAAAGCAGTGCTCTAAGAAAAATACAAGATGATTTCAGAAGTTGAATGATTTATTATCATTATTTAGAAATTTCCTGATTTATGCATTACGGTTTTCTCTTTAGGAAAGATTTGTAGCATAGAACTATTTTCTATAGCAATCTCTAATGCAGCCTATATCAATAATTGTTTAAACGTTTGGTGATTTCATGGAAATTTTGTGATATTAAGTTTTTCCAGGTTGACCTTAAACCTTGAAGTTCAATTTTTTCTGAATTAATTTTACCTATGGTTGGTCTACTCCAGGCGGACTGCGAGCTATACTAACTGATCAGGATAAGTTGGTTGTTGCGGTGGGCGGCGTGACAGCTCTGGCAGCAGGGATCTACACAACGAGGTACTAAAGCAGCAGAGTTCAATGTTACCTCTACGTGTCATCTGGCAATTTTTTGTTTTTCCATATTGTTTTGTCTTTTCTCTTTTCTCTCTCTCACTCTCTCTCACACACACAAAGGAAGATTTACATACATACCACCCAATTGTTATGTGTTTACTTTTCTAACACCCAAAGTTTTTATTTTTACATTTATACCACCCCACCTATGCATGAAAAGTCGTATTTTACCTTTTGAAAGTCAAAACAATGATATTTTTGACGCGATATAAATGATTTGGGTGGTATAAATAAATAAAACAAACAATTCAATTGTTAAGGGGCCGTTTGGGATCACTTTTATATTTTTGTTTTGTATTTTTTATTCTATTTTCATTTTGTTTTGTTTATGTTTAAATTAAAATAAAACATTATTGGTATGTTTCATTAAGATATAGTTATTTTTGAAAACACTTAAAACACCCAAATGTTATTTTGAGTGTTTTCAAAAATATGTTTACTTGTGTTTAGAAAAAAAAAAGTAAAAAAACATATTAAACAAACCTTAAAAAAAAAAAGGAAAAACCAAAAAAAAAAAAAAGATCCCAAACAAGCCCAACATATTAACATCTTATTTTGTTTGCCACTTAATTAGTGTGTTCTTACCATAGCAATTACTTACCATAGGTATAAAATAAGTGTTAATGATGCATCTTGTATTATGAAATTGATTTGCAGTAGTATTTTGTTAGAAGAAACAACAAATTAGTTGTTTTGATATGATAACAATTTCACTTGATCAGAATGGTTCAAATTATATCTGCATTTTATGGAAAACCATACAAAAATTCATTTTCAAACTATGCTTATCAAAATTCATATTTACTTCAACAAATTATAGTCAATTGAGTTTTTTTTTTTTGGCTCACTGGTAAATTAATAGAATTAGTTGATATTATGATTCATAGAAAGATAAATATCTGATGTATTCAAGAAAAACTTAATGGGTTGGAGAAAAAACTAAATAAATTGATAACTTCGGTTTTAAACTTTGATATTCAGGTAAAAACGTCGCATTAGAAATGATATATGTGTAATTATAGATAATCGTTTGAAATATAATGTTGTAAAAATTAATAAAATTGAAGATACAATTATAGCTCTTAAGATTATTAATGATACTAAGATTTTTAATATTATAAGTGCTTATTAAGTGCTTATGCTCTTCATGAGTGCTTATGCTCTTCATGTAGGTTTAGATATAAGCTCTAAAGAAAAATTCTGGAATGACCAAGAAGACAATACAAATGATACTCTTTGAAGAAAGAATTTTCATTGGAGGAGATTTAAATAGATATGTCTGTAGAGTTGTAGAATATTTTAGAAATATTCATGGTGGCTACGGTTTTGGAGTGATTAATGAAAAAAGTAGAGCTATATTAGATTTTGCTTTAGCGTATGATTTTGTTATTACTAATATTTTGTTTAAGAAAAAAAGATGAACATAATATTATAAGAATAAATATAATAAAACACAAGTTGATTATCTTCTTTTGAGAAGAAGTGATCGTCGAGAATGTAAAGATTATAAGTTCATTCCAAGTGAGGATTTAAGTACTCAACATCGATTATTAGTTCTAGATTTTAAGATGAAGAGTTGTAAAATAAAGAATATTAGAAATATTTGTCGTAAAATTAGACGAGAACACCTAAAAGACACAAGTAAAATTATTTTTATTAGTAAACTTCAAGATTTTAGTATTTGAGATGTTCATGAAGAAAGAAATTTTATGTGGAATAATGTAACAAATACTATTAAACAAGTGACAAAAAATATATTTAGAGAATCAAAAGAAAAAAGGTTTTATAAATAAAAATAACTGATGGTAGAGACTAGATAAAAACCCAGGAAAAACTTGAATTATAGAGGTCTACATTAGAGTCTAAAGGCCTTCGTTTGAGTAGAACTAAAACTAAATACATGGAATGTAATTTTAGTAATAGTTGCTCTAGCGACAAAGTTATAACTATTGGGGATCAAATTATTAAAAGGTGTGAACGCTTTAAATATTTGGAGTCTATTGTTCAAAGTGATGGTGATATAGATGGTAATGTTATTAGTAGAATTCAAGTTGGTTGGTTGAAGTGGCGGAATGCTTCGGGCCTATTGTGTGATAGAAAAGTATCTCTTAGACTGAAAGGAAAATTTTATAAGATGGTGGTGAAACCCGCATTGCTTTATGGCGCTGAATGTTGGCCTTTAAAAGAAAAGCATAAAACTAAGTTTAGTGTTACCGAGATGAGGATGCTTAGGTGAATGCGTGGCTTTACACTTGAGACAAAATGCGAAATGAATATACCCGTGTACGGTTGGTGTAGCTACAGTGACAGACAAAATTAGATAGTCGTTTTAGATGGTTTGATCACATTAAACGTTGGCCATTTGATGATCTCGATTAGGAGAGTAGATGTTTTAGATTCGACTTATGTTAAAAAAGGTAGAGGTATACCGGAAAAGACTTGGGCATATTGTATAAATAAAAGTGATCTTAATTTATTAGAATTAAATGAAAATATGACACTCAATAGGACGCAATGGAGAACAAGGATTCATGTAGCCGATCCCACTTAGTGTGATAAAAATTTGTTATTGTTGTAGTACAAAAGGTCTTAACTTTGGTTCTGTTTGGGGCAGCTGTAACTTATTAATTAGCTGTTGCGCTGCAACTGTGGCAAGAAGCTGCATCGCAAAAGCTGACTGTATGTTTGTTTTTTGCAGTTTGAAACAAGTGTTGTAGTTGTTTCTGGGCTAATGACCATTTTGTCCCTATATTTTAGTGTTGGTTGCAACAGAGCTGTTCATATAAGTATATTCAATAGTTGAAAACAAATATCCAGTGCATAACATTACAAAATAAAAATAGACACATCACTAAATAGTAAGTAGCATTACTACAAAAATTAACAAAATGACTATTAAATTAACAAATAATAATTTGATGAAATTATTTTTAAAATGCAAACGGTGTATGTCATGAGATAAACTGTCATCTAAGGAACATGTCCACACCAAATCACTCTCCACAGTAGAATCTTGCAGCTCATCTGTTCACCTAAAATAATCACAGTTTTTTGTAATTCTCTTTGGACACATGTAAAACTGTCTTTCGTAGCTATGTGGCTACCGCAAAGTAAGCAGAGAATATTGTAATATGCAGTAGCAGTGCAATCCTCTGGAAGCACCGAAAATCTTCGAGTTCATCTTTTCTGAAGACTTAAAAACACATCTCTTTAAATATACCACTCGTAAAAATTAATAACAGAATTAATCAATTAAAATTTTATGCACTTATGAGATATCAGAAAACTCAGTATATAAACTAACGAATCTGTCACTGCAAGAAGACAACAAACCTTATAAAAAAGTGTTTTTGGCTGCCTTTAACCCACGTATTGAGCTATTGTTTCACATATGTATATCACAAAAAAAAGACCATCCAGAAGAATCTAAAAAACCATAACACTGAAAAAGGAGAGAAATTTGGTTGTCTTTATTAGGATTTCACATATGACACCAACTAATAACGATATACAAACCATCCAAAAGAACCCATAAGGTTAAACGTCTCATCATTGATCTCTAAAACTCAAAGAAAAAAGACCTGCGATATTTATGATACATATATTACCCACGGTTGCCTCATCGACCATCCAAGTGGGACAAAAAAACATGCAAAAGGAAAAGAGGTACATATTACTTACATAAAAAATATATACAATAAATATCCAAGGTGGTGTTATAGACTTCAAACTCATTCGCTACTTCTCACCAAGCCCTTTTTCCTTCTGCTCCACCAGCCACCTACCACACCCACATTCCTCCACGACTCTACCCCCACCCTAATCTCTTCCTATAGCTCTAGCTAGGGATTCTTCTATTATTGTATTTTCCTTTTGTTGAGTAGTTTTGTACCATTATTTTTATATTAATAAAAAGTTTACTTTTTTGTATTACCCCACATCTCAACTAGTTTCGGTATCAGAAAGGTGGCACCACGGGATACGAGAGAGAGGGATTAGGGCAAGTGTTGCGAGAGAGAAGAATGCTCACTGGATTGTGAGTACAACCGCGTAAAAAACAAATAATAAAAAAAAACTAATCCGGGTCACGAGGTCGAACCCACAGTCGCTTTTAATCACAAATTTTTTGAAAATGCCACAGCTCTGCAACATTCAAACCCTTTTTACTGTGTTTTCGCACCGCAGTTGAAAGCTGTGCCAAACTGGTTATTAATGGTTTGTCTATTTGTTTCACATTGATTCTAGAGTCCTTTGATAAGTGCCTACATTAGTTGAATTTTGAATATAACTATATTCAACGATATTAATGCAATTTTATTTCTTATTATTGCTAGTGATTTTTTTCTCTTTGTTGCCACTAAGGGATTTTTTGGGAGCAAGCCACTTTTGGCATCCATTTAGACATTTCTCCTTGGAGAACCTCCTTTTGTGATACATGCAACAAGTAAAAGTATATAGAACTTAACATTCGAAAAGCACTCATTATTTATTTTATTTCACCATCACTTTTTTTTTTAAAGAGATGCAATGTTTTTATTGATAGAACTCTTATTCATTTATTCATTATTATTTGCCTTATCTATGCCATTTGGTGATGGCTATATGAACCTTAATATTCACCAAATTATTTGGACAGCTTTTGTCTATATTAAGATTTATTATTTCGTTTTCCTAGTATTGTGAAATTAATTTTATCTACCAATTTAATGGGTGCATTTTCAACCCTTTATTGTACATGTTCAAGCACATAATTCTATTTTTAATGGCCAAGTGTATAGTGAATGTCACTCCAAATATTTGGCTGATACTTACCACTCTTAACTTAGATATTTAACATTTCTTGTATTGCACAATATTTGGATCCACACAATAACTATCAAAGCTCCATATCCATTTACACTACTTCCGAGTCGATATTTTACAGCCATTTTTTGAATCAACAGAGAAGGCGCTCGGGTAGTTTGGGGCTATGTCGATCGGATACTCGGCCAGCCATCTCTTATCAGAGAGTCCTCGCGAGGGAAGTATCCTTGGTCTGGTCTCTTTTCCCGTGCAATGAGCTCATTGTGGAGCAAACCAAACAATTCCGCAACAAACAGCAACGGTCTCGGTGACGTTGTTCTCCATCCTTCCCTTCAAAAGAGAGTTGAACAACTAGCCAAGGCGACTTCCAACACCAAAGCACATCAGGCGCCATTTCGTAATATGCTATTTTATGGCCCTCCTGGAACAGGAAAGACCATGGTTGCCAGAGAGCTGGCCCGCAGATCTGTATGACAAATACTAACTTCAATAAAAGGCTCGCCTGTTTCTTTCGAACTCTAATAAATCATTTCAAATGATCTCCAGGGATTAGATTATGCATTGATGACCGGCGGAGATGTTGCGCCGCTAGGATCGCAGGCTGTGACCAAGATACATCAGCTATTTGACTGGGCAAAGAAATCCAACCGGGGATTGTTGCTGTTCATCGACGAAGCCGATGCATTCTTATGCGAGTAAGCGATTCTTCTCCTCTCTGAGATCTACCGGTTAAATTGCCTAAACAATGTCGCCTAATGGCACCATTTTATTTGATCCATCCATGTTCGTAATCACGATTTCAGACGGAACAAGACGTACATGAGCGAAGCCCAACGGAGCGCTCTCAACGCGCTTCTTTTCCGCACTGGTGACCAATCCAAGGACATCGTTCTGGCACTCGCAACCAATCGGCCGGGCGATCTCGACTCTGCTGTCGCCGATCGCATCGATGAGGTGCTCGAATTCCCGCTTCCCGGGGAGGAGGAGCGGCTCAAGCTGCTGAAACTGTATCTCGACAAGTACATTGTGAAGGCGGGGGAGAGGAAGGGGGGTGTGCTTAATGCTTTGAAGCCCCAGCCCCAGAAGATAGAAATCAAAGGGATTGGTGATGATATTTTAAGGGAGGCCGCGGCGAAGACTGATGGGTTTTCCGGCAGAGAAATAGCCAAGTTAATGGCGAGTGTGCAGGCTGCGGTGTATGGAAGCACAGATTGTGAATTGAATCCTGGACTGTTTCGAGAGGTGGTGGATTACAAAGTTGCTGAGCATCAGCAGAGAAGAATGCTGGCAGGAGGTGGTGGTGCTTCAGGTCAAGCCTGATGCTTTACATACAATGGAGAAGCAGGTCAGGAACTGCTCTAATTTTTTTCCTTTTAAGAGTATTTTCTTAGCTTAGTTTTCAATGGTTGCTGCCCTGAGGGTCGAATTTTGGTTCAAATATTGATGATTTTTGGTATTTATAGGATTTATCATTCATTTATATTGTTTTTTTTTCACTTGGATTAGTATTAATTTCGGGTAAAGGGGTTGTTTGGTTTTTGTAAATGAGGAATTTGTTTTTGTAAATCTGCAGGCGTTGAATACATGATTTATATATGTATTATTTGTAGAAAATTTATGTTAAATATAAGATTTACTGAATAGTATGGTGACTATAATCATGTATTTTAAATATTATAGTAATATTATGGAATGAAATTCAATTTCTTATAAAATTAAAGTGAAATATATAAATATTTAGTATTTCTAAAATGTTAGATAATATATTTTTTTTTTTGTATGGCAATTACATGTTTGCCATCCAAAACTCTCTCAAATACCAAATTTGATCATGGCATGGGCAAATAAATCAATTCAATAATTAAAAAAAAAAAACATCCAGAATGTTAATCTCTAAATATCAATATTTCATATGATCAAAATTTATGATGAAATCTCAACCTGTCTTTTTCATTTTTATCAAATTCTTAATAATTTAATCGCGATACACGTAAATATATGATTTGACATTTCAAAAATATGACACTGAGTGTTAGATTTATAAATAACAAATGTTTGTGGAACCATATATGTAATTATTTCAATAAAAAATTAGTATAATATAAAAAAAAAAAAAAAAAAGGGAAAACTACTTTAGACAATTATCTCTTCTGTTAACAATATCTTTCAATCATTTACACAGTCAATCGAAGCATTATAACAACAGACAACAAACATTATAGCCAAACATAACAGCAGCAGATTTCTTCAAGTTCTCGGGCCTTCGGCACTCTGATGCTTCGTTTCGTTATATTCTTCAAGCATATTGATGAGATTCCCTTCCGGCGCGCTAACGGACGGCAATATAGCACGCCTTGGCGTCGACCTAACAGGAGGACTCTTCTCAGATACAGTTGCTTCAGGCGACAGCTGCATTCCTTCTTTCACTACAGGCAACTCCATCCTCATCCTCGCGCTCACTGAAGTCATTCTTTCTTTCCATATTCTTCCATCCTGTCAGATAGAATGATAAAGGTCAGGCCTTTAGAAACTCGTAGCTTTCTGTTGATAGAGTTCAAGAAAAAATATGAGTTTTATTGAAAATTTTGAGTGATATGCATGTAAATATGAATGTTGGGGTGATAGAAAAGTAAATATGTAAGAATTGTGTGGTATATATACAAATGCCCCCCACCCCCCACCAAAAAAATGGGGGTATGGGGGCATACTGCAGCAATCATTTCTACAATATTGATCAGTCAGTAAAAGCATAACAAAGAACTTTGTTGTATTTTGATTCAGACACTTGAATATATAAATACTTATTGGCAAAGAATCTCCTGAATGGTTATGTTCAGCATTTACATGCATACCACACAATTCTTCATACCACACAATTCTTATATATCTCTACATATCTAAACACCTAAACATTCATATTTACATGCATGACTTCCAAAATTTTTAACATCACATCAAAAAATACCATCATCACTACATGTTAAAAGTGAGATGCATATTTTCATGCATGGTTTATTTCAAATATTAGGGGTTAGATATGCAAATACATGAGAACTGTGCGGAATGTAAATGGCCCTTTATACATTAGAGATTGAGTGTGGTTTAGCATAAGAAAATTGATAAAAATACTCGGTATATAATCTTTTTATATTTAAGTATTAATGAACAAAATATGCATGGAATTAAATGAAACTATATAACAATTTACCAACATAGAAAAGTATCAACCAATATACTTCACTAAAAGGGCGCGTCACACATAAAATTTGATGCAAGCAAATGAATTGAGCAATTGAATAAGCGCTTAAACATGAATTACATGAGAATTTTATCTACTTCTCATCAAAATATTTATTCAAAATTATATAAGCAAGATCATATACATAAATAAACAAAATATCATGTTCTAATTAGTTCATCTACGTGCCAAACTTTCAAGCTTATGCATAATTGGTTAATAGAACGAATGATTTATCTTAAGAAAACAAATAACAAGTTCATTCTATGTTTAGGTTTATAACAAAGTCAATAATTTACATAGATATTGTAGGAAGTCTTGGGGCACCCTAGTCAAAATAAGAATATGAGATAAAGATCAGATTATCAATTCAAAAAACTGCTAATTAAGAGTTTGTGACTCTACTTCTATCGGGTTTGGATCTAGAAGTTTTCGACGTGACGTGTGGCGCAATCTAAACTATGGGAAAGTTTTTGATAGCACTCAAGTTTTTATATAATATAAAAAATAACACTATTACCACTTTTTAGAGGTGAAATACATCTTTTCATGCAATAGGTATAAAGTACAAAAGTGCTATGTTTATAAATATGACAATTTAGGTGTGAGATATGTGAATAAATAAGAATTGCGTGCTATGTATGTCAATGCCCCCCAAAACGAATCCCACAGTCGAAACTAATTTGCATTAAGAGAAAGTGAAAAGATAAGCTTCAAGCAATTCAACTAAAATGAATATATACTACCGAAGGCAACATGAGTATCCAGACATTTTATATAAAGTGCTGCCATTATTTTTTTCTCGGGGCAATGTACATACCCACAATTCTTATTTATTTACAAATCTAACACCTAAACTTTCAAATTGACATGCATAGCACTTAAAAATCTTTAACATCACATCAAAAATAGCAACATTACTAACTATTTTACAGAAAAATACACCTTCTTATAATTAGTTTTGTGACATCAAAGTGCTGTAAGTGTAAATATCAAAATTTAGTTTTTCTCGTAAATTTTTCCTCTTTTTTTTTTACAAAGTACTATGTAACAGCTAGAAACATGACACAAACAAAATGAAGTATAAAAGTACGTAAATTTAGCTATAATTATCAAAAAAAGAAAATCAGAAACAATGGATGGCTCGGGCATGGGAATTTGCAGAATATCCCAAACTCACATTTAGTATGGATGGCTCGGGCATGGGACATCGCACAGGCTGATCATGGTTGAGAGGCTCTATTGGGTGCTCCACCGGTTTAAACTCTACAGCAACCTCAAATCCATGGGTTGTAGAAACAGGAATTGGAATAGCAACCTCCAACTCCTGTGGCCTCTCTCTAACATCCTGAAGATGCCAAAGCAGACATAACAAATTGCTGAAGAATGTTAAGAGCACAATCAATATAATCTTGAATGTAATTATAGGAAAAAATGGGAAGATGTAATTACTGAGAAAAACTGTTATTGCTGTAATCTGGCAATTAAGAACAAATACAACCATAAAGGAAATCAGGCACAATGGATTGACATAATACAGTCATCACTAGATCTGAAAAGTGGAAACAGCTCACTGGAAGCAACCAAAAACACTCAGTCTCTACCCTTAATCGAAGAACATCATCAGACTGTACTGGAAGTAAAATTAAAACGTAAATTAAAATCAAATGATAAAGCAGTAGGTTTCCACTAATCGTAAATCGCATATCCCGATAACATCCAAGACCGAATCTTTGATTACCCCACAACAAGAATCAAACCCTATCTCCAAAAGGGGGAAAAAATAAACCCTAAAATCAAACTCCGGCAATTAAAAAGAGCAAACTGAATACAAAAGAAGAAGGCATCTGATGCCCAAAAGCTTACAGCTGCGCTCTGAGTCCTCCGGTGTCCGCTCCTCGAAGAGAAGCGAGAGAAGATTCCAACCATATCCTCTTATCCTCTTCTTATTCCCCTTTTTCCTGCACTCTCAAAACCAAAACCGAACCATCACGCATGTATTAACCCACGAACAAAAGGGTAGGCGACCAGAAAACCACTCCACCGGCAAGACAAAGGGCGGCTGAACAGATTGACCGATCGCCTAAAGCATGAAGGAGGTGATAGTAAGGGTATGAAACGAATCAACTAATGGCGGCTCCCTTCTGAACTCTCAAGTCCGGAGCTCCAAATAGATGAGACGGCGAGGAAAGAAGACTGGAGACCGAAAGTCGAAGAGAAAACTGATCCGTTGGGCTAGAACTGGTGCTCCTAATAAACGACCTAGATTTGGCCATGTGGGCCGACATTCGTGGTGTGGACGACAGCAGAGCGGAGAACAGGGATGACAGGGAGGGCCTTGTTTTAGGGACGCTAATCTCGATGTAGATATTTACACGTGTCGTTCTGCAGGGACCTTTGTACTTTCTGGGGGAACTTTCCCTCTGTTGATGATCTCACGCTGGATAATTGCAGTGGGGATTAAAGTAGGTATATTAAAGATGTAAATACTTAAATATTGTGTTATATTTATGCAAGAAATTATTATTTTTTTTTTTATCTTTTTTTCTCCTTTCAGGAATGGAAAAATGTTGAAGGAGATAATTTTTGCAAATAAAATTTATCATTTATTTACCTCAAAATAAATTTAAAAATCTTAAAAGTTCATTTAGTTTGAACAAATTTCTCTGCACTAAACCAAATCATTCATATTCATAGGTAAATTACATTGTGAAATGTTTGTCGAATTTCAACATTCTCGTGACTTTTTTTTAGGAGATTGGTCAAGTTCAAACACGAGACTTTTCGATGTGAGAAAATCTGTCCAATCATCATACCATCATTTCATATGCAATGTTCTCTTAGCTTTAATCCCACTTTCTTAGATTCTTTTACAACAAGTCTTGACAAGCATTAATTACAAACTCATTGGCATAAAATTGTTGCTTTATGATGGGAGTTTTATTCACCAAGTATGATATATAATAAAGATATTTTATCAAGTAAACATATTTAAGGATCCAAGCTAGAGTTGATGAGTATTGACACTTAGTTTGCCCTTCGGGTATTAATATTATCATAATTTTGCTCAAATGCATAACACATCGGTTGAAAACAAAGCAAAAAATCTCAAACTATCAAGTTTGAATGCATAAAATATTATCATTATTTGTAAAATAATTAGTATGACTTGTGACATATTTTTATACATTTATGGGATTAGAGCGTGTATTGCAAATCAAATGTTACGTTGTTATTAACTTTGCATGATCGTTTAGAGTAGATATTGTTCTTTCATCTCTGATGTTGTGTTGATAGATCGTCAATCATGTTATGTTTTTATATTTTAATGTATTCACATGTTATAAGTGATCCCATAGGCCTTTTACTTTGCTAATTAATTATTTATTTTTTTGATTACATGCTTAGATCTGTGTTAGAAAATTTTATGTGAGCTCATATATAATACTTACATATTGTGTTATCATAATTTTCTTAAGCTTATTAAAATTATGATCGAATGAAAATTAATTATTTAGCTTATTTGACATCGTAATATTTGTATGAAATTAATATCTATTAGTACAATTTGTATGGAATTAATATCCATTAGAGGCAAGATATTCATTTTATTTTAATGATGGACTAAAATATAATATATATATTCAAGTATAAATAAGGTCATGATCTCTAATAAAAAAAATTTGATTCTCATTTTGCTTGCATCACATCTTTAAGTGAAAATAAGATTCTTTTATTTCTCGAAAACATCGCTTTAGATATACAGAGACGATATGAGAAACTTTAAAGTTAAGAGCTCTTAAGAAGTTACACCAATTGAACAAAACTGTTGAGGCCATTAGAACAAAATGACAATATCTCCATGGGGGTGAGAGTTCAGGATATTACATACTATAAGTGTGGATGCTTGGAGAAGGCCTGCAAGGTCTTTGATATCTTGAGGAGTAAATGACTTTCTTCCGAGAGGTCCATGATTTGGAGGACAAGCGATCCATGGCCGAGGGGAAGAAGCCACCAATCTGCTCAACGAGATGCAGAAGGAAATAGTGAGGCAGGATGAGACAACTCTCCTCAACCTTCTCAGCGTCTGTGCTTATATAGGCCCAATTGATCAATGGCGGCACTTTTCAATTACCTGGCTCTATTTCATGAGACTGAACCCAAAATAGACCATTTTGGGTGCTGGGCCTGGTGGACATGGATGGAAGAGCCGGCTTGCTACAAGAAACCAAGAAGGTGATTGATCAAATGCCAATGAAACTTATGCCGGTTGATGGGATGATGTGGCCAATGGGAGGAGGTTAATGAATGGTCAAGCAGGAGGGTCAGTTATTGAAAAAAATGGAGCGGTGAACTTTTTTTTTTTTTTTTTTGCTAGAGGTATTCCCATCCTGAGATCTGGCAGACTTACGCCATGGTTGATGAGATGCTTCAGCGAATCGGATTAGTTGGCTATGTGGCTGATATTGGTGAGAGACTTCCATCTTCTGTCACAGTGTAAAACTCGTAATTGCTTTCAGGTTATCGCATTCAAGCAGGGAGAAACTGTGAAAATATTGAGACATTTGTTAGTGTAATGATTGGGATTTCAACAGAAACTTCAAGAGCACTCATGGGATGAGTGTCCTCTTAGAAATTTATACCAATTAAGGGGGACGAGTGACCTCCTGGGAAGTTATATCAATGTTGGGACATAAACATAAGGCCACTAAGCCAAAGAGAACAATATCTCGATGAATGAGAGTTCAGGCTGTTACAAATGTTATCATAACATTACTCCGGCTTAAGGATGAAAACTAAGTTCAATGCTGAACAAAATACTACGTCATGAGAGTCACATCTTGAACTTTAGATGAGACAAACTGCTACATGATGGGAACCATATTTTAAATCTTTAAGGACCCCTTGAAAATCCTATATGCCTGCTAAATAATTTCAGATTAAAAATATTGGCATGGATTTCAATTACTTAAGAGGAGAGAATTAAAAAATCCCTTAAAAGGAATAAGGCAAAACTCTTAAACATCGAGACATTTTTTGGTGCAACTAGTAGAATTTCATCAGAATCCAAAGTAAGGGGGTGTTTGGCTGCAAGTAAATCCAATCTGAATTTATCAAATTCAAATTTTGTTAAATATGAAATAATGCCCAGTTCAGTGAAGAATGTTTGACATAAATTTCTTTGAAGTATTTTCTTTCTAAGCTAATCTTTTAATAAATCTGGATTTAATTAAAAAAAAATAGATTTAACATGGCGTTGGATTTATCGAAGTCTAAAATGACGTTTGGCTGGATTTAATGTTAAACCATTAAGTAAATTTAATTAATAGTAGCACACCAAAGACTCCCTTAGTTTGGACCATCACTAATGAGATAAAATCGTGAGACCATTAGTCTCAAGTGGAAAATATCTCGATGGACAAGATTTCAAGCAGTTACATAAGCTATAAGGATTTCTAATATTTTGAGAGTTTGAGATTGCCACCAGGCGAGTCAGCTCATATCCAAGGTTTATGACAGGGAAATCATAGCGAGGAATCTTAATAGGTTTAACCATTTGCATGGCGGATAGTGCTCTTGCCAGGATTACCGGTGACATTATATGTTTTTGTAGGTAATAAATAATAATTATTTAACTTAATCATTGAATAGCATTGGTGTAAGAATCCAGGCATAAGTTGCAGAATATATCATCTTATGTGAGCTGGAGTGCTCACGTTAAGTAGTTGGGAAAGTAAGCAAAAAAAAATGTATATTTGGCTATTCTAATCAATAAATAGCTATGAAAAAAGCGATTTTGCTGACGAAAACAACATTAGAATTAAGGTTCCAAAACTTTAAACATGAAAAACACAGCACCAACATCAAAAGGTCAAATTTCATCAGCGGTTCACATACCCACAATGTTGAAGAATAGAGCTCAGCGGTTCAGATACCTACAATGTTGAAGTATGGAGCTCAGTGTATTCCATGGCTGAAAACTTCAAGCAGATCTGTGATTTTCACATTAAATTCTGCTTACAGGAATCTTTAATGAAGAAACCAGAAGAAGTTAATATACATGATGAAAAGAATCAAGCCTTGCCAATACCGCTAACAATATTCGCCGACACAGAGGGCGCCGACATCGGCTTCTGCAAAAGTGCAGTTAGGTAAACCTCGCCGAACTTGATCCCGCCGGAATCCGTCTTGTTTCCCACCGCCCACTTGATTCTCTTGTAACCCAACCTCGCAATTAGCGGTCCGTATACCGTCTCAAGATCCGCCGACTTGCAGAAGAAATGGTCGATCCACAGCAATCCTCCGGCCTTGAGAACCCTATCGGCGTCAAACATAAGGAACTCGAGCGCCGGTATCGGGATCCATCGGTTGACCGCGTGGCCAGTGCGCACCAGATCCATGGCGCCGTCGTGAACGGAGGCGCTGCTGCAGCGGCGCGTGGAGGGGTACGACGCCGCGCAGGGCAGCAGCCTCGCTGTAAGGTGCGCCGAAATTCATGGTGGTGGTGAGGAGAGTTGCGTTGAGGGTGAGCTTGAGGTGGGCAGCGAGGGTTCCAGTACCACCGGCGATGTCAATGCCGAGGCGAATGGGGGCGGCACCGGCGGCGTTAGCGATGGCGAGGAGCTGGTGGAGGGGAAGATCTAGGGCGGATCGGGCGGAGACGAAGCGGGAGAGTTCGGTGGACTTGAGATCGAAACCGAGGTTGGAGGGAAGGCAGGAGAATGAGCGGCAGGGGGACGTGGGAGGCCAGAGGACGGCGGCGTCGGGGAGGGAGGCGGGGAATGGGTGGGAAGGGAGGGAGGAAGGGGGGGGCAGCAGCCGCGGAGAAGAAGCGGCTCGGCGACGGAGAGAGAGTCGCGGGGGCAGGGAGAGAAGGGAGTGTAGTTCATGTATAGGTGGAGGAGGTCGGGGTGGTCGGAGCAGGATGAGGCGATGGGGGAGATGCGGGAGTAGAGGAGGAGCTCAGGAGGGGGAGGTGGGAGCGAGGAGTGGGAGTTAGAGGAGGCGGAGGCGGAGCGGATGCGGGTGAGATGGGAGATGGTGGCTCGGATAGTGTGGAGTTGGTGGAGGAGATGTTCGGGGACGAGATCGGAGTGGGGAGGGGAGGAGGGAGGGGAAGGGTTGCGGAGGGAGGAGAGGTGGTAGAGGGAGAGGATGTTGGCGGTGACCATGGCCGCTAGGAGGAGGAGATTTAGCCCTATCCCTGCCCCCATTCTTTCTTTCTTCATCAATCTCCCACTGGTCTCCGAGCTGGGCTGCTAGATCTGGCGCGCTGCCTCTGCTTTTCTTACTAA